CCCTGAAATACATTCTGCACCTGGAATAAAACTCACACCCAGGGGTGGGCTCTCAGCCCAATAGTTAGCAAGATGTACACACAGACCACTCAACCCAAGATGCCGCACCCACACTCAATGGTAATACATCCCTTAGAGCAAAAGACCATGGGACACCAAAGGACCAACATTCAAAATGAGGAAATGCAGGACAAATAGGAGTGCATAATTATGAGGGACACAGGGGGAGTTTTACAGGATAGGGAGTGGAGGAGACTGGGTTAGGGCTGGACATGGCGAATGGGGAATGAAACTAAATGTAAGCAGGACGTTGAATGTAAAACAAGCTCTTAAAATAAAATAAATTCACATCTGTTAAAAAAAAAAAAAAAAAAGTGATAAGCTTTTATTATCTGAAAATTGCCCTCACAAGTCTTAATGGGTCTCATGCTTCAAAAGAAAAGAACAAACCACTTTGACGGAAGACACAGATACATGGAAAAACAAATAACTTTAATGATTTGTGGTAAATAAAAAGAAAATCTGAACCTTATGACTGATAAATGAAAATAATTACAAGTGTATTGGTAGAGAAAGTACAACTGCAAATTTCAAGAGCTTACATAAACCAACTGCTGTCAAGATAAATATTTAAAGAGACGTAACTGAAACTGCTTAATGATGGCAAAAAACACAAAGTGGACAGGGGCGAACCAAAATAACGAATGAGGCAAAGTGAACGGCAAACCCCAAAGGTGTTTTTACAAACAGATTCTGATCAGAGGAATAGATTCAAGCCTGTCTAGGAATGTAACCTATGAGGCAATAGAAAGTGACTAAAAGTCAGTTATAAATCAGAAATGACAACCAAAATCCCAGTGAGTCGTAAATTATTTAATGCAGACATTATCTAACCCCTTAGAGTTGTTTGGTGCGAGGGTGTTCATCACTCTCCATTAGGATAAAATGTGGGCCACACACACTATGGTTGTAGGTAGTGTGTTTCAGAGCTCCTTCACCCTGGAAGGTCAGCATCAGCAGTGCATTTCTTCATTTCTCAATATGGAATAACAAACAGCATGGCAAAACAAGAAACGAAAATATATTTTCAAACGATCAGTGTCACAGACTTTCAAACGATAGATATTAAAATGCTGATTTACATCACAGTATTGTAAAATTAGGGACAGTCTAATTCAATGGGTATCAACTGTCCTCACCAGCCCAAGAGGACTCAAACTGGCAGGTCTCAATGTTTCTCCCTCCCCACACCTTTAACCTATCTTTAGCCACACCTATCTCCAACCTTTAATATTCTATCTTCAACCTTTAGGAACCTTTAGCTTCTTAAAAAAAAAAAAAGACTAAAAATGATCTAATCGAATCAACTCACAAATGAGAACACAGACCAGGATAAGCTCCCCAGGTCTGCCGGTTCCAGAGTCGTGCCCTGGCCACTACTCTGCTGCCTTTTCTTCTGGGTGTGGGTAAGCCCTTCCAGCTCCTACCATGACACTTACTGTTAAATGTTATGGCCTTTGGTATGTTTGAAAAAATCTGTTTCAAATTAAGTAACAACTACTGCCTCCACGCTAACCATAAATCTTAAAAAAATAAAATAAAATAAATAAAACCAATTTTTACAACGAAGACATTTGGATCTTTAAGAAAGTTCAGCAATGCCTAGCAAAGTTGACCAGAAAAAGACTGCTTTCTAAATTAACTTATTGACATTTGATTGACAATATGCTAGACTGGGAAGCCTTCTAGAAAATACTGATACTAAAATGTGTAACAGCAAATATTCTAAGTGTACAGTTATAAGTTGGTAGTTAACAAAACATAAGTGTCTATAATAAAAATAGGTACCCTGAACTGAATACTGATATTCACCACCAAAGAATAATGTTAAAGTTCAAATCATGATTTCCTGACATATGCAGACAAGGTCAAAATAAGGGACAAAAATGAGGAATACTTAAATAAACTATTATAAGAAACTAAATGAATACCATGTAAGGCAGGGACAATTGCAGACAGAGTGGAAATTTAACTCTATGGTGGCAGGTTTAGAGCAGGTACTCTACTTTCATTACAGTAAAGCCAGAATAAATTATTTGACAATATTCTCTGTTTACTAAAGGATTTTAAGGACTTTGCTGGTGACAGTTGTGAATATTTCTCATCAAGGAACAGTCAGTCAAAGGACAAAACAATAACGATACCACTTGTATCTTTAACCTACAGTTCTGATAGCCTCACATTAATCTTTGATAGCTAATAATTTGAATAGAGACATGATGAATGAAACCGTATGCCAGTTATAAAAAGACAAATCCTTTGAAGCAATGCCAGCATCTAAATGGTAAACATAGAATAAATTCATAATCTGGCAGGTTTTTTTTAAAAAATTCAAGAGAAGAAAAATACTGTACTTTTACACAAATAACATGCACTATACATTTATATGGTTGTTTGTGTGCCCTCCCAGGGTATTTCTGTAAGCATGCTATGCTATTTTTTCTTCTTTTAACATGTTGCTATTAAAAAAAAAAAAAAATAGCATAGTATACTTACGTATGACACACGCATTATTTTCACAAAAATACAGTATATGACTAACTACCTATTTGTAAAGAAGTCAGTGACCAAAGGCATTCAATGGCTAGGTTCTCACGTACTGCAGAAGTTCAGAATGAAATGTTCATTTGGTACAGAATTCAGCAGTCAAGCGGGAGCAACTCAAAGGACATCACACAGCCTATAAACCAGCTGGAAGGCGCCATCCAGACTTTGCCCTGCCGAACCCTCTCTGGGCGAAAATTAGAGAAGTCCTCATAGATGATATACTGTGTGCAGAAGCGCTGATCAGAATCAGGCCTGGCGTGGTACGCAACAGTATTGATGGTCTGAGTCACGTCACTGTCTGGCTTCGGCTTTCTACTGAGGATCTGCCCCCCAGCCGCAGTGACTAGCTTCACTAGGTTGTCCTTCGGATGGTGCTTGAAGGGTCCCCCAAAATAGAAGTAGCACCCATCAAACAGCTTTGGCAACTGAAACAGCAAGAAAACACTCGTTGGAAACAGATCAAAATACTTTAAAACACTGTATATGAATAACAGCAATAAAAATAATGACCATAAGCAGTTAAGAAACTATGTCAAGAAACTACGTAAGCAGTAAGGGTTCTCGAGTTTATCATTTTTTTCCCTAAGATTCAGTCAATACCCTGGAGTCCCTTTCACTCTCCCAAAACCTCAGGTATATTTTATACAAAGAACAACAAACAAACAAAAACTGTTCCCGAGCTTCTTTTATGAGGATGCTTATTTATATTTGTTAGGATTTAAAGCCACAAGAATTCCCAGAGTATCTGTAGTATGCTTCAAGGACGCCTAGCTAAAATGAACTCAATTACAGGAGCAGCAGCTCTTCCATGGACTGTTAAGTCTACACTGCCCACACATATTCAGGTCCCTATACACAGTCCCTACCAACTAAAGGACTCCAGGACAGTCTCGGTGGAACTGTGGTCTCTGGGTCCAGAGATACACTGGTTGGAGTACAACAGTTTATGAAACCCTAAGGATTCAATTAGCTATGAAACGAACTTCTGTGTGCTTTAAAAAAAAGAGGAAAAAAGTTTCACAATTCCCTGCTATGAAAATATTTCCTTGTCATTTCTAATATACTTATCAATCAATGGGATAATGGAATATCATCTATTAAAACTGCAATATGTGGCAATAAAGACGTATGGTAACTAAATCCGAGCAGCAGCTGTAAGTCTTCTTTCAAGCTACTTCCTGTATCTGAGACCTACCTCAGATTCTGAAAGGTTTATGGGAATGTTCAAGATGTCAAAATTCCATTAACAGTATGAAATTATTGCCTTCTGGATCTTACTGCTCATCGGGATCATCTTTCAGAATCAAGTGCTTAAAATAAGCACAATTAAAATTTTAATCAGTCACCTGTACTTGTTGAAAGAGCAGAAGCAGTCTTTCCTGGTGGTGATAATATTAAGTCATAATAAGAACAATGAAAGAAGTATCAAAAGAAAAATACCAGCTGTTCTCTATTGAGTCTGCTTCTCTGCGGACCTTCCGGAATTTCATACTTTTCTTCCTGTTCACATATTTTTGTTTGCAGGCATGCCTTCACCCCTGACCAAAGGAACAAAAAAGATAAAAGCAAAATAGGTATCAAGTAAGTATTATCTTTATCACTGAAATTTCACCATTCACCTAAGTGTTTTAAAATAAAATATTTTTTACTTCTTCATATTGTTTGGAAACAGCCAAAACAAAATACAATAAAACTGTACAGAAAACCTGAGAAATTCCTCCTTCACAGGGCTGAGTAGTGAACACTAATTGTAATTTTAGTCTCCTTTCCAATAAAAACCAGGCGCTCTGGTGGGGTAGTGCCTAAGGCATTTATTTGACTGCTAACTAGAAGGCTGGAGTTTCAAAGCCACCAGCCACTCTTCAGAAGGAAGGTTGGGCAATCTACTTCCACAGAGATACCACCTCGGAAACATAAGGAGGGGTTGCTATCAGTCAGATCCAACTCAACGGCACTGAGTTTGGTTTTGGTTTTCTAAAAAACCTACACCAAAGCATTATCTCAAGTATAAGAGTAAAGCTGCATTTTTACTCATGGCAATTACCAGGATGAGGATGGATGGAACACCCATCCAGCCTGGCCACAGTAATCTGAACCTGAGCATTTACCGTCTTCACCACTCACCCTGTGGCAGCCATGTGTCTAATCTTCTGTTTAAATGATTTGACATTAAGGAAATTACTCTATAGCACCTAGCTCAGATGGCCTCACAACAGGGGCTCAACAGTACTTGTTAAACAATAAAGAGAGCTGGAAAACACGACTGAGATTTCATAGATAAAACACCGAAGCCACAGGCCTGGAGATGAGTAGGCTGGACCTTGCAGGAAAAAGATAGCCATTTTTCAGATCTTGGATAAGTGCTCACAGTTGCAGGTGCAAAAGCAACAGAGACAGCCCAGCCTGGCACTATTTAAAGTCTTTCCATTAACTGGCTCCTAGGTCGGGAAACCCTGCTTTGGCAGGGCCATTTGTTGACTGCCAGCACCAACTGCCTGGCAAAGCTCTAGAAATAAAGTGGGGCTTAGGCATACCCAGGAAGGACACAGTGAGCTTAATCTACAGGACTGGTCGTGGAATACTGCCTGTCATCACCAAGGAAGGAAATTCACGGTATGTATATATGAGTTCCGGTGGCACAATGGTTAAATGTTTGACTGCTAAATGAAAGACTGCAAGTTCAAGCTCACCCACTGACTCTGCAGGAGAAAGACATAGAGATCTGCTTCCATAAAGAGTCCAGCCTAGAAAACCCTGTGGACAGTTCTATTCCATCACGTGGGGTCACTATGAGTTGAAAATAGACTTCATGGCACCCAACAAGAACATATCTGTTATTTGTAAATACAACAAACTCTTGTTATATACGACAAACAAAACTGGGGATCTGGAGTCAAATGACTGGTCTACCCCAATTACTTACTTTACAGTAATTATTTAAATTCTTTAAGCCTAAGTTCCCTTGCCTGTGTGTGTATGTGTGTGTGCATGGGGGGGGGCAGCAAGGTAACCATATCAACTGTTTCACAGGGCTGCTGTGGAAAACCTGAAAGTGTTCTGGAATGTGAAACCTGTAATAAACTATCTTAATCATAAAAAGAAACACTTCTTACAATTTGTTACTGGTCTTTGAGATTACTTTTCTCAGTAAACACATGTTCATCACTGAGGAAACTACGATTGCAGGAATCACACATTACTCACTTTCCCATTCCTCCAACATTGACTCTGCTCTGCTCTTGATGAACAGGAGGAGCTTGACAAGCACAGAGCTTACCTGAGACAGTGGCTCAGCTTTCCTAATTCACTGTCTAGGGTTGTTAATATAGAAAAGTTCTTATACAATTCACTACAGATGTAAACATTTAAAATTTGCTGTTGTTGTTAGGTGTCATGAAGTTGTCTCCAACTCACAGTGACCCCATGCACAGCAGAACAAAATACTGCCAGTCCCATGCCAGCTCTATGATCCTTGCTATACTTGAGCACATCGCCACAGCCACCATGTCAACCCATCTTGTTGAGGGCCTTCCCCTCCTTCGTTGACCCTCCACCTTACCAAGCATGACATCCTTCTCCAGGAAATGGTCCCTTCTGACATGACTAAAGTAGGTGAGACGAAGTCTGGCCATTCTCACTTCCAAGGAGCATTCCAGCTGCACTTCCTCCAGGACAGATTTGTTAGTTCTTTTAGCAGTCCATGGTATGTTCAGCATTCTTCGCCAGCACCACAGCTCAAAAGCATCAATTCTTCTTCAGTCTTCCTTATTCACTGTCCAGCTCTCACATGCATATGAGGCAACTGAAAATACCACAGCTTGTATCAGGTACACTTTAGTCCTCAAGGAGAGAATCTTTGCTCTTCAGCCCTTGGAAGAAGTCTTTTGCAGCCAGTTTGCCCAGTGCTATACATTGTCTGGATGTCCCGAGTGCTGCTTCCATTGGCGTCGATTGTAGAACCAAGCAATGTGAAGTCTTTCACAACTTCAATCTTTTCTCCATTCATCATGATGCTGCTTATTGGTCCAGCTGTGAGGACTTTTGTTTTCTTTATACTGACATGTAATCCATACTGCAGACTGTATTCTTCAATCTTCATCAGTAAGTGTTCCACGTCATCCTCACTTTCAGCAAGCAAAGTGGTGTCGTCAGCACATCGCAGGTTGTTAATGATTCTGCCTCCAATCCTGATGCCACGTTCTTCTTCATACAGTCCAGCTTCTCAGATTAGTTGCTCAGCATACAGATTGAGTAAGTATGGTAAAAGGATACAACCCTGACACACTGCCTTCTTGATTTTAAACCATGTCCCCTTTTTCTGTTTGAACAACAGCCTCCTAGTCAATGTACATGTTCCTCATGAGTACAATTTATTGTTCTGGAATTCCCATTCTTCTCAATATTACCTATTATTTGCTTTGATCCACACAATCAAATGCTTTTGCAGAGTCAATAAAACACAAGTAAACATCTTTCTGGTATTCCTCGCTTTGAGCCAAGATCCATCTGCCATCAGCAATGATATCCCTCGTTCCACGTCATCTTCTGAATCCAGCTTGAACTTCTGGAAGTTCCCTGTCAATACACTGCTGCAACCGTTTTTTAATTATCTTCAGTAAGATTTTCCTTGTATGCGATATTAATGATATTGTTTGATAATTTCCACACTCTGTGGGATCACCTTTCTTTGGAATGGCTACAAATATGGATCTCTTCCAGTCAGTCGGTCAGCTAGCTGTCTTCCAAATCTCTTGGCATAGCTGAGTGAGTGCTTCCAGAAGGGCATCCGTTTGTTGAAACATTCAACGGGTATTCCATCAATTCCTGGAGCCTTGCTCTTCACTACTTCCTTCAGGGCACCTTCAACTTCTTCCTTCAGTACCACTGGTTCTTGATCATATGCCACCTTCTGAAATGGATGAACATCGACCAATTCTTTTTGGTACACTGACTCTCTGTATTCCTTCCATCTTTTGATGCTTCCTGCATCATTCAGTATTTTGCCCATAGACTCTTTCAATATCACAACTTGAGGCTTAAATTTTTTCCTCAGTTCTTTCAGCTCGAGAAATGCCAAGTATGTTCTTCCCTATTGGTTTTCTAACTCCAGGTCTTTGCACATTTCATTATAGTAATTGGCTTTGTCTGCTTGAGCTGCTCTTCTAAATGTTCTGTTCAGCTCTTTTATGTTGTCATTTCTTCCATTTGCTTTAGCTACTCTCCGCTCAATGGTAAGTTTCAGAGTCTCTTCTGACATTCATTTTGGTCTTTTCTTCCTTTCTCATTTCTTTTAATGACCTCTTGCTTCTTCATGGAGGATGTTCTTAATGTCATCCCAGATTTCCTCTGGTTTTTGGTCACTGGTTGTCAAAGCATCAAATCTATTCTTTAGATGGTCTTTAAATTCAGGAGGGATATAGTCAAGGTCATATTTTGGCTCCTGTGGACTCGTTTTAATTGTCTTCAAGTTGAACTTGCATATGAGCAGTTGATGATCTGTTCCACAATCATCTACTGGCCTTGTTTTGGCTGAAGATATTGAGCTTTTCCATTGCCTCTTGCCACAGACATAGTCAAACTGATTCCTATCCATCTGGCAAAGTCCACGTGTATAGCAGCCATTTGTGTTTTTGAAAAAAGGTATTTGCAATGAATAAGCAGTTGGTCTTGCAAAATCTATCATACGATCTCCAATGTTATTTCTGTCACCAAAGCCAAATTTTCCAACTTCCAGTGATTCCTTTTTGTTTCCAACCTTTGCATTCCAGTCACTAGTAATAATTAACACATTTTGATTGAATGTTTGGTCAATTTCAAACTGCAGAAGTTGGTAAAACATTTAAAATGGTATCCACACAAATAACAAAAATAATTACACAGCACTTGTAAGAGCTCAGTTACAGTTCAGATTTGCAACTATTTCAAACTATTTTTGAGTATCAAAATGATACCTACCTCCTGTCTCCGATGCCAAGAAACTTAAACAGAAAACATTTACAGCTGCAAAAAAATATGCCTGTGGTTGAGAATTAGAAATATATGCTGAAAACAAATGGTTTAACAGTATTTCACAAAAGTCTTGAAAGATGTCAGTGATAAAATCCTGTCCAGCTGATCCCTACATGGTTCACCAGTGGAATGACGTCAATGCAGAAGACCCACCACTAGACCTGCATCCCATACACACTCCTATCAAAGGGCCTCCTGAACTAAAGGATAAACCAAAGGTTCATCTGCTGCAGGTACCAGAATTGTCCCAAGATTGCGTTTGTTGGTTTGCTGTTTTAAGAGTAAGAGAAGGTCATTTGACCTATAAAAATTATCTTGAGTAAAACCCAACACTGGATGACAAAGAAACTTACGACTTTCCCAAAGTTTCCACCTAACAGTCCACTTCAAATTCATCTTGATTTTATGAGATCTCATTTTTAAACTTTCTTCTTTATTACCCTAAAGTGAAATAATTAAATTCTGTCTACATGAGCCAATCTACAGAACTAAGGAAGACAAACTGAAATGAAATAAAACAGTAACTTTT